CCACTGGTCCCACCACCTCCTGGGAAATAGAAGGGGAAGATATGGAGGCAGTGACAGATTTTATTTTCTTGGGCTGCATGATCACTGCAGATGGTGATATCAGCCCCAAAATTAAAAGACACCTGCCTCTTGAGAGGAAAGGAACCTCGATAGCATCTTAAAAAGCAGAGACATCACCTTGCCAACAAAAGTCTGAATAGTCAAAGCTATGGTTTTCCCTGTAGTGATGTACGGAAGTGAGAGCTAGACCATAAAGAAATCTGACCACCAAAGAATTGATGCTTTTGAATTGTGGTGTTGGAAGAGGCTCTTGAGGGTCCCCTGGACTGCAGGGAGAACAAACCTATCCATTCTAAAGGAAATCAAGCCTAAGTGATCATTGGAAGGACAGATCCTGAAGCTGCGGCTCCAATACTTTGGCCATCTCATGAGAAGCGAAGACTACCTGGAAAAGACCCTGATGTTGGGAAAATGTGGAGGCAAGAGGAGAAGGGGACCACAGAGGACGAGATGGTTGGACAGTGTCATTGAAGTGACCAACATGAAATTAACCCAACTCTAGGAGGCAGTGGAAGACAGGAGGGCCTGGCGTGCTCTGGTCCATGGGGTCACGAAGAGTTGGACATGACTAAATGACTAAACAACAACAAATTAAACTACTGTAAAAAACTATATATTAAAGAAAACAAACACAGATCAAGATTAAAAGCAATTTTAATAACATCTTAATAAACATTATAAAATATCTAAATTTCATATATGGAGCCTCCCATTGACCCTCACTTATTGCATAAAAGCCTGGCTGAAGAGGAAGGTCTTTACCTGACAATGGAAGGACAAGAGGCAGGAGGCCAGCATGGTACTCAGGGCAGTGCATTCCAAAGTCTGGGAGCAACTACTGAGAAGACTTCTCTCATGTCCTCACCAAAAGAGCTTGGGAAAGTAATGGAACCAAAAGAAGAGCCTTGCCAGAAGATCTCAAAAGTCGAGTACCCTTATATGATCCTTCAAATAGATAATAAATGAATAATAAATACTTACCAATTACATAATCTCCAAAGCCTATTGTGCTAAGAGTAATGAAGGAATAGTAGAATCCTTCTTCATAGGTCCAGCCTTCTATGGCAGTGAACAGCAGAGGAGGTAGCAAAAGAAACAGTAAGAGGCCAGCAACAAGAGCACAGGTCCGTGTCAAGACATTTGCACCTCTCTAAGAAATAAGGGGGGGGGGAGTACAGATAGGTGAATAGTAACTCTTGCATCTCTTATGACAGTAAATGCTAGGCCTGATGACTGCTAAGCTTGCAGGAAAAACAGAATGATTCTATACAGCAGAAATAAATGAATAAACACATGGGGAAAACTTATTGGTCCCAGATCAGAGGTGTACTGGCGAGGGTACTGGACTAGGACATTGACGGATCCTACTTCTGATTGACCCATGAAACTCACTGGGCGACCTTAGGCCAGTCAGTCTCTCTTAGCCTGACCTACCTAAGAGGACTGCTGTTGTTAGAATAAAGTGGGGATCAGAATAGCTATGCATCCTGCCTCAAACTCTTTTTTGGAAAAGTGGGATATAAATGTAACAATTAAATAAAGCAAGAAAATGTGTATTCATAATTCCAAGAGTCCACGGATGACATTTCAGTTAGTTTTCTATCTGGGGTGTCTACATAGCATCATGTTTCTCAGCATCTGGAGACAGAAGAATCTCAACTTACATTCCCGCCCCCACCAAAAACACAGAAATATAATCTTCATGAATGTGGTAAGACACATAAAAACATGGTCGCATGATTTTGCTACAAGCACAGAAATTCTGCAAGGAGGTATGCTTCAGATGGTTCTTCTAAACCAGCATTCCCAAACTTGCACTGCAGGCCAACACCATCTGTTGGCTCAAGTTTGGGAAGCCTGGTTCCAGTGGTCAGTACAGCCCACCATCAGGCCATTTTTTTTGTTACATAAGCACCTGGCTGCATTGGATATGACCTTTGCTTGTGGTGCATAGGAACATGAACTGCAGAAATTGATTTACAGAGAGGGTTGGTGGGTAGGTTTTCTGGTGTTATAGAAACCGTCCAAGCCCTTTTAAATCTGTGGCTTTGGCCTTTACTAGTTACCCTGTGACTCATTTATTGAAGATACAATATTCCCATGAAGATCCAATTTCCCATCTCCATGTCAAGTGGGCCCTTCTGATGTTTATTTTTTTAAAATTTCTTTTAGGCCTCAATCTCCTACTATGGAAAGAAAAATTCCTTTACCAACCTGTGAGCATTTTCTTTTACTAGCCTCATAGTTCAATATAGTCTTTTCCCATTTTGCATGCCCCAACATTTCATCTGTATTTTGTGGCCATTCAGCATGTGGAAAACACACTGTGCTGTTTTGGGGGGTGCTCTCCCACATGTCAGATGCCCCTCCTCAATAATTTTTCTGTACTACTGAAACCTTGGGGCTTCCCTGAGGCTGCCAATATCTCCCTCTTTTGTATGGAAGATGCTGTTTCAATGATAAGCAAATTAGCATAACTTGTGCAGCTGATTTAAAAAAGGCAAAAGTCACTATTACAGTATTTGTAGTAATAACACATTAGCTGTACTAGCATCCGTTCCTATGCTGGTATATCAGTCCTAGTAATGCACTCACATTCATATAATGTTAATTGTGCGGTAGATGTTTCTTTAAAAAAATCATACAATGTATATAATCTCTGATCTGAAAGCTTAGAAAACCAACAAGATATGAAGGTGTGACTAGAACCCTGTTAGGTGGATTCACTGATGTAACACAATCAACATAAATCTTGGTGGCAAGTTGCTAGAATTTAAGCAGAGTATATGTTTGTTATTGCACACCATGTGATATAACTTGATACACAATAACAAATGTCTTCACTGACTTATTACCTTGTAACAATTTGTGGCTGAAATTTAAACTCATTGAATCTTGAAGCCTTTGAGAATACATTCACTGAATTAGTTTAGCATAAAAATGCAACAGGATTTTGTCCATATTTATTAAAACATGGGGCTAGCTGATGAGCCAGGAACAAATCTAAGTCAAAGCAGACAAATCAGCTTGTGTTCTTGCATTAAGACAATTTACCCATCCTATAATGGATGCTTACCTTCCAGTGGAACTTCTCACTCAGGTGGAAGGCACATTGTTGAACACCAGACAGCATCAGCTGTCCTATTCTGTTCAGGAGGATGACATTTAAGGGGATCCCAAAAAGGGCAAAAAAGATGCAGAGGATTTGTGCAACTTCTGTGGTGGGACTCAAGTTGCCATAGCCTGTAAGCAATATAACAAGAAACGGTCATAATTAGGTGGCTGTAATAACCTGAATCTGCCTCCATGTTGTCAAAAGAAAGTCAGAAGCTGAGCATACTTGACATATGGTTCACATGGATTTTCTATAACACTTAAGGCACTTATTTGTGACTCTCTCTCCTGTGAGAGAATGTTTGTTTAATGTTTGCCCGTCATGTCAGCTATAAGCTGGAAAACAATACTGATTAAACACTTGGAAGAATTTCCTGATGGTTAAGAACTGTTTACAGCAGAACAGAAAATGTTGGAACATGGTAGATTCTCTTCACCAGAGGTTTTTAAACAACTGTAGCATCTATCTGTCATAGATGCTACAGTTGTAGGCTTCCTACATCAACAAGGAGTTGGACTAGCTCCTTCCAATTTTCTGGTTCATTGGAAGGGGGTTCCATTGAGACTCCACTGAGCAAAAATCCCCTCCACAGGAGCAGTGAGGGACAATGCCATGAATGAAGCATTATTATTATGCAAGCACTGATTCCCAATTGAAAAAGTTTGACTTAGGCTGGCACAAGGTACTATTAGATGTCACACTGCTCATTCAACGAGCCATTGTGTTAGCAGTTTGACAGAACAGGATCTTAGCCTGGGATTCTATGGTCCACTGAAAGCCAACATACCAGATTAGCAGACACCAGAAGAAATTCTGGGTGGGGTGGGGTAAGAGAATTAAAAAAAGGGGGGAGGGAAGACATTCTTCATATTAAAGGTAACAACGTTATGTTGCTGTTTAGTCATTTAGTCATGTCCGACTCTTCGTGACCCCATGGACCAGAGCACACCAGGGAACTTTATATCTGACTATAAATCTATTAAGTATGGGCATATCATGTATATTAAAACAAACTGTCAATGTGAACTACAATTGAATTATAAACATTATGTACTGGGAATGAAGCACCACTCAAATATTGATAAAACTTACTCTTGAGGAATCAAATTTAGGAATTATGTACAAACATTTCATCAACAATTTACAACCATAATACGTACTACTACTACAATGAAGGGGAGGGGGGAAAAACAGGTGCTATTGAACAGAACAATATCAATAATAATAAAAGCAGCAATTAAAATCTATGAAAACCGTTTGAAATTTAGTAGCTCAAAAAAAGAGCTGGCCTGTGTAGCCTTGAACAAGCTGCATAGTCCCAGGGCACTCCTAAAAGAAGGGAATGGTAAACTACTCAATATTCTCTACTTAGAAATCCATGGAAAGAGTCATTATAAGTCAACACTGAATTGATGGCGCACATACACACACACACACACAACTCCATTTAAATGATATCTACTGCCCTTACCTCATAGCATATATCCCACATTTTATTTTAGACTTCCCACAATTCAACATTTCATCTGAACCTCAAGTGTTGGTTAATTTCGAATATGCTTTGTGAAGACAAAGCCAGCTTTGTAAATAATGGTTTGGAATTGGTTTCATTCCACTAGGCATAGGTAAGACTAACCACAGTTTGCGTGGGCTCTAAGATCAGAACAAATTACAGTTCCACATTCTTCCTTCCAGCCATGCCAGAGAGGAGGGGGTTGGAATGGGTCCATGGCCGTTGCCTAACAGAACTATGGTTGCTACATAACTAATTATGGGAAATGCTGGGACATGCCATCTAAAAATATCTGCAAGACCACAAGTTGTCTACCCCAGGTCTAACTCTACATGTGAACACACCCTTGTCTGTACTGTTCTACAATCATACCTCTTACCATGCCTTTGTTCCACAGAACTGGAAAAGAGGGCAGCAGAATGAGCAACCACAATCTTGTACAGAGAATGGGTTCTACTTTACAGTGTAAACCCTTTTTATTACTTTTATTAAATTACTTTTTTTCCCATGCACAGTTATTTTTTTTTTAAAAAAAGCTCTTTCTCATTTGTCAGATACTGGATTTTAGCAAGTAGCACATCACCATGGCTTTGTACCTGACAATATATATCTATGCATGTTTATTCAACAAGATAAGCAACATAGTGAATGCCATCATGGCCAAGACATGCCCTGCTGCACAAGGTTGAGTGCCAGTAGCTAGCAGTGTAGATTAGGGATACATTTAATGCAGTGTTACCACCTGCATGTTACATCACACTCTACATTCCACTGTAAACCCATATTAGATTTTACTGATGCCTTCCACTAAAATCCATGTTACCTTTGCTGTTAATTATGGAATGGAAGAGTAACTGGGCCCAATTGTAAAAATCAGTATACAATGTACCTGCCAATGCAGCTGCTTCCTTTCCCCTCTATATGCCCCCCCCCTATGTTCACTATAACCAGTGAGGGGAAACAGCACTCAACTCTGAAAAAAAACTGTAAGGGGAAAGGGAAGGCCTCCACCTCAGCTTTCAAAGATATCCATAATAATTACCGCAAGAAGCACTATTTCCGTGAAGAGCAAACTGTTTAGTTCTGTCAGTCCCAAACACTGCCATAATACATTTTCAGAGTTACAATGTGATACCCTATTCTACATTTCTTGGGTTCCTCCATAATAACACTGTATTTGGCATCAGGGTAGCAGACTAATTATTAGTGTGCCTTTAAGTAACTCCTCTAATTTTGGCTTTCCAGAGGCCTCTTCTTTTCATTCTGGACATCATCAAAATTGGAAACACAAATGGTTAATTTCCGCCACCCATTTAAAAATTCTACAAGAATGAGTGAATATTTCTCTGCACCTCACTGCCTGTGGAAAATTTTAAGTGTGGGAGATCTTTATAAAAATTCAGGAGAACATGCAAAAGTGCAATTCTCCACTTATTTCCATTCTATTATGTAATTGGTCCCATGGCAGGAAAAGAGGCCAGTCAGCTGACTCTGGGCTGGAAGGGGCAGCTGGCAAATGAGGACCTTCAGGTTGGCAGGATGTGGACGGAGCTCTTCATCCAGCTGGTCGGAAGAAAGGTGGAAGGAGAGCAACAGGGAGGGGAGGAATGTGGAAACTCAGAGAAGACTGGGCAGAAGGGAGCCAGGATGGAGGAGGAGGAGGAGGTGACAGTAGAGGAGCAGGAGGAGGATTTGCTTGGAAAGGGGTCTTCCACTATGCCCTTACCGTGGACCCTGAACTGGCATCTTGCCTGTGCTGAGGCCCCTCCACAGCTAGGGAAAAGGCTGGAGTTTCAAGCTCATAACCTCCCAGCCTCTACCAGGTTAGTGCACTCCACGAATCACCTGACCCCAAACACAGAAGCAGTGCACAAAACTCCAGTGTTAAAAGGTTAGGCACAGCAGCCCACTGGTACAAGCAGTCCTTGGGGGGGGGGGAGAGAGAAAATGAACCATCCAGCATGGACTGCAAGATTCTGGACAGTGCCAGCCCCAGTGTAGTCAATGAAGGATTGTCAGAAAGACACAAAAACTTCCAGGTTAGTGAAGAGAAGTAACCAAGGGAGAGTGATGTGAACCCTGTTTTGGAAACAACTACACTTGCAGTAAATCCCACTTTGCACCTTGATTCGATTCCTGAGCCTATGGAAGTCACTGCTGGAGACACTGGTCCCACCACCCTAATCCTGACAGGGAGTGGTGGAGCATGCAGCAATATATGGAGAAGGGGGGGGGAGAAGAAGGAGATGAAGACTGTCTTACCCATAGGACAGCTAGCTTTTCTACCTCGTTAACATATAGATCAGGTATGATTCCAGTTTAACATTAAAACTGAAATAACATTAAATGAGTGGCATGGAGTTTTCTGAAAGAACAAAACTCAGAAGGTCAGTGCGACCACACTACAAATAAGGTTTTCTTTGATCAACTTCGTTTATATTGGCACACACATTTGTTAGCATAAGGGGTGAAGATGGCCAGCCCTGTACTAAAAAAACAAATTATGACATCAGCCCACAATACACAAACAGAAGCCATTCTAAAACAGGATTATATGGGAAAGGGACACAGGCTATTAAAAACAGAATGTTTTAAAAGCAACTTCTGGGTGTAAAGAGATGATGCATAGGGGATGTCCAGAAAATCCCTCAGCACAGATCAGTTTAACCCAATGGCACTTCAAATACCCATTTGATCAGTCAGTCATACTGGAGGTTGCAATGATATGAAATGGCTAGACTTTCCCCTTGTTATCAGATGTTATGAAAACAAGGCAGGGATTTGAAGGTGCAACTGTGGAAAGAGAGTAGTGGAACATATTTACGGTATGCAAAACTGATGATCTAGTCTGGAATTCTTTTTTTAAAAAAAGTTGGTCCTAAATAGATTAGGTAGTTGGCCTCTTTCAAGGTAATAATTTTTTTTTACTTCTGTACTGGTGAAAAGAAGCCTGTTGAAAGCAGAAATGCCATAATTCCTTCTTAAATAGGCCCTGCCAATGGTTATGAAAATACTGAAATATTACTTTAACAAGGTGTTCAGTTCTCTTCTGCCATCAGAGCTTAAAAATGTTACTTTTTTGGGAATACAACTCCTAGGATTCCAGCCCGCATAGCCTGCTGGCTCAGGAATTCTGCAAGCTGCAATCCAGAAATCACTGTTTCAAAACTCTGTCTGTCACTATAACCTCAATTGATTTATTTCACAGGATGTTTATTAGCTTCTCTTGTTTTATCATTAATGCTACTTAGTGAGTCATTGCTCTGATAACTCTACACGTATATCCAAATCTAGATATTTAACAGCTACATATCCCTGATACTTATGACTTTATATATCCAACAATTGAAATTTCACGCCCCCAAGAAGGTGTCCCAGGAGAAATAAGGGGTTTTGTGTCTCATTCTTTAAAGATGGGCGGGGAGGGGAAGAAATGCTTCCTGAGACACAGTATGGTAAGAAAGCAGGACTAGGACTTAAGAAACTGAGTTAAAATCCTCTCCCCATCAGCTGGGAAAGGTACTGGGCAAATTTCGGCAAGTCTCAGCCTGAGAGACTTACTGTGGGAATAAAATGGTGCTAGGAAGGAGGCAAGGAAAGAAAGATATAAAGGCT